TAAAAAAAAAAAAAAAAAAAAAAAATAAAATGCAAATTGTTGAATTCCACTGAAGTTACAGAAATAAGAATCTCTGGAATTGATGTTTCAGCAAGCTTCCCCAAGGCATTCTAATACACAACAAAATTAAATGACAGGGCTCCAGCCCAGGCTCTGCCGGAACAAGTGCCTTCTGGGAGAAACCAGAAGTAAAGACTACTGCCAATAAAACTATAGTGTCCCAGAATCTGGATCTAGACAGAGGTCAGACTGCAGCACTCAGAAGGATACAGTAAGGTCATAGCGAAGGGACAGCAATTCTCCACCTTGATCCTTCAGATCATACATGAGCCCAGAGTGCTCTTCATATTTCTCAGTTAGCATTTCCTAAAGGGGCCAAATAGAGCCACAGTTCAAAGGATGACTAGAGAACACAGATGAGAAACCCTTTGGGACTCTGAAGGTAGGTAAAGAAAAGGGGTTCTAGGCCCTCTTCTATTCTTACCGTTAGCTCAAATGCTGGGGTATCCAAACCCTTTGCTCCATGACGTTTAAAACAGCTGACAACCATATCAAGAATTTTCTCCCTCACAACCATCTGTTGAGGACTAAGATCCCTGGTGCCCTGGAAGCCAAAAGCAGCCAAAATACAAGCAAAACAAAACAAAAATTTTAAATGACCATTTAAGAGAAAGAGTTAAACTATACCTATAATCTAAGGTTTAGAGCTAACAATTTTTTCTGACTCTGATACCCATCCAATATCTCAAAAATAGTAAAGGTTTTTTAATTTTTTTTTTTTAGTTGTAGTTGGACCCAATACCTTTATTTTGTTTATTTTTATGTGGTGCTGAAGATCAAACCAAACACCTGGCACAAGCTAGGTGAGCATTCTACCACTGAGCCACAACCCGAGCCCAGTAAAGGGTTTTTGTAAAAACAAAACAAAACTTTGTGGTGCTGTGGATCAAACTCAGGACCTCTTGGATTTTTTAGATTGGTGATTGAACCCAGGGGAACTTTACCACTGAGCTACATCCTCAATTCTTTATATTTTTATTTTGAGACAGGGTCTCACTAAATTGCTTTGGACCTCACCAAGTCTTTAAGGCTAGCCTCAAAGTGTGATCCTCCTACCTCAGCCTCTTGAGTCAGTGGGATTACAGGCATGCACCACCATGGCCAGCTGTAAAGGTTTTGTATGAATGTGTTGTTTTCTTTTAACTTAGCTTAAAAGGCTAGGTGTGGTGGCACATGCCTGTATTCCCAGCAACTCAGGAGGGCAAGCAGGAGGTTCACAAATTTAAGGCCAGCCCTAAGGCCTTAGCAAGGCTCTAAACAACTTAGTGAGACCCTATTTCAGAATGAAGAAAAAAAAAAAAAAGACTGGGGATGTGGGTCAGTGGTTAAGTGTCCCTGGGTTCAATCCTTGGTCCAAAGGGAGGAAAAAAACTTAGCTTAAAAGGATTCTAAAAGGGGTCAGAGAAATAAGTGATGCAGAGGTCAGTCCTTGAAAGCATGCTAATGGGACAGGATGAGCAAAGGGTATTACCTTCGGGATCTTAATGATAAAATTTGGTTTCTCTTGATGTGGTTTAGGTTGGGATGTTAACAATGCCTCTGCAACCTGGAAGAAAAAGGAATATAAGATGTGGCTCCATCGCACACTGGTCAGACCTGTGACGTCACTGATCCTATGGACCACCAACCTACAAAAACCCTTGACCCTAAGCAACAGGAAGCCTGAGTGCTATCCTGATCTCAGCCGCCCTCCTCAAGAACCTATGCTGTATCTACAAATATACATGTAATATATGAGGTCAGGTCTTCACCACACAAGCTTCTTCACTGTATCTTAGTTTTTAAGTGTCTGAAAAAGTTTAAATAACTGAGAACAATGAAGGCACAGAACACCACTACACCAACAAACATGTAAAAGCAGGAATTAATTATGACTTCTTCCAGTATTCAGTTCCTACTCAAACAACAAAAATAGTAATCCTATTAAGACAGTTTTGTTTATCAGGCTTGGAGATAAGGAAAATGTAAGCTGAAACAGAAGTAGCCCAAGAACCAGGAACAAGCCTGAAGTGAAAAGGAAAGCATTTCTTGACAAAACTTAAAAACTCAGGCTAGTAACATGCTGTGACTGAAAATTAATTTTTAAAAGGAGTTCTGTTGTTTGTGACAGTACATTGCATCTGCTAAGAGGACATTAAGGAACTTTCCAAAGCACAGCAAAACAGAACATTGTCTTTATTAACAGCATGTCATATGCCCTTCCAGAAATAAAGGGTTTGGTAGTTCCATGTTTTAGTGATTCTATCACCCAAAGAGAAGTACAAGTTCAAAGCCACAATCCCTCATATGTAATACCAAACTCCAAAAATTTCTGAAAATTGAAGATGTCTTTCTGAGATTCATTTTAAAGTAAACTCTAATGTGAACTCAATGTGTTTATGGTCTCTGGCCATCCCATTTAGTGGGAATATCCACAATATTTTGCTTAAGAATATAATGTGTTCGACTCCAAAATTTTCAGTTAATAGAATATAGACCTGTATTAAAATAATGCCCTTGCTGAATGACTTCAGACATGGCATTAAACCTTGCAGCCTCCGTTTCCTCAACTGTAAAATGAAAATAAAAACCCCAACCTCCCAAGATTGCTCCAAATGTTAAATGACAAAGCACCCAAAATGCTTAGTTCTGTGCAAGTACATAATGAGCACTCCATTTTAAAAGCCGTGATAACATAGTACAGATCGCGAGTCATGTTTCCAGACCTGAAGACCCAACCCTGAAAGACAAGCTATCTCAGTCCGGCTCACCTGGCTATGACAATCTACTGCAGGGATGCACGCAGCGCGGGGCGGTCGCAGGAGCTGGCTGAGCAGCGTAACCCAGGTCCTCCTAGGCAGGAGTCCGAGCTGGGGCATCGTGCGGAAGAGCACCAGCCTTCCGGGACAGGGGCCAAAGGCCTGGGAACCAGTGGGGCGGGACCCCCGTAGTGCGCGCGAGAAGCGAAGCAGGATCGCCAGGAAGAACCAAGTACCGAATTAGTCCAGGTTGACTGAGATCCTGTCCTCCCAGGCTCTCTAACCCGGAAGTGGATTTTGCACTCTGCGGAGGCTCTCTAGGCAGGCGGGCCAGCGACTCGATAGCCGGAAGTCGTCCGGGTTGCTGTCGAGTCCACCCAGGCTGGTCTAGACCTCAGTCGGCTCTGGTTGGCAGACGGAATGGCAGAGCGAGCTAAGCTGGAAGAGCTGGTGCGACTTCAGGGAGAGCGCGTGCGGGGTCTCAAGCAGCAGAAGGCCAGCACCGAGCAGGTGAGACCCAGGCGGCAGGGGAATGGCCAGGCAAAGCCAGGGAGGGCATAAAACGGGGGGTGGTCTACACGGAGGTCAGGTATGTGAAGGAAGGGGACTGGATTGCTAGGGAGAAGGATGGGCTGGGTGGAGAGGTAGCCAGGAGGGGTCCCCAGAGAAGTAAGGCTAGTCTAAGCAGAGAGATCTGCCCCAGTTCCTGATGAGGGAGGAATATCGAATGAATGGCGGGGGAGGATAGGAGTGACAGATGAATAGCTCAGAGGCCTTTTTCTCTTCACAGATCGAAGAGGAGGTGGCAAAACTACTGAAACTGAAGGCACAGCTGGGCCCTGATGAAAGCAAACAGAAGTTTGTGCTCAAAACCCCCAAGGTAATATGATTCCTATGGGGCCTCTGAGAATCCTAATTCCATTCACAAGGGCACTAGTATGTTTGGTTCCCTAAACCAGGTCATTGAGGAGGCTCTGAAATATTGCAGAGGAAACAATAATTGCTCTGGGCACTGGGCTGGATTGAACTCTATCTGACTCATTATGGGAAGGCAAAATGATGACAGAAACTAGTTAGGTGGATGCTCAGGGGAGTCAGCCTGTTGCTGCTACTCCTTTAATTCAGTAACTCATTGAGTACTATGTTCTTAACATTGTACAAATCACTTAATACAACATGGTAGTATTAAAAGGAGTTCTGTTGTTCATGACAGTACATTACAGCTGCTAAGAGGACATTAGGGAACTTTCCAAAGTCCGTCAAAACAGAACATTGACTTTATTAACGGCATGTCATATGATCTTCCAGAAATAAAGGGTTTGGTAGTTCCATGTTTTAGTGATTCCTATAGTCCACTGAAAGACAGATTTAGGACAAATTATCCCACACATGCATATGTGATGGGTAATATAAAGAAATTAACAATAATTGTCTGAAAAACATAAAAGAGAGTTGGAGGATCTGAGAAAGACTCATTGAGGCTTCAATGGATGAGAGACAGCCAAGAGAAGAGTGTAAGGAAATAGGTCCAGCAGAGTATGGAAACCCTGAGGCAGGAAAGAACTTTTTTTAGTAGTTTCCATGAACTAGAAACAGACCTTCATGACTAGAACCAGAGAGATAGAGTGGAATGAAGTTGAAGATTCCTAGCTCATCCTTGAGGATTTCAATTCAAATGCGATTTTCTTTAAGTTCTGCAAACAGAACTATTTACTCCTTCCTCTCAGTTCTCTTGCCACTTCATACAAATCTCTATTATTTCACTGACTTTTAATAAATACTCATGTGGTTTACTTACCCTGAGAGGCTTAGACTAGATGCCTAGAAATAAGTAGGTATTCAGTGAAAGTAACTGAAATTGAATTTCAAGAAAGAAGGGAAATAGTTTGTTTTCTTTGAGTTAAGGTTAAATTCTTTGGGCTCCTAAATTCATTGAGCTTTTCCTTTCTATATTCTCTTTTTCAGAGGTTAAATAGAGTATAAAATCTTGAAGCATAATGATTAATAATTATTCAAACTACTGAATGAGGTGTAAAATTTCTGGGGAATTTATGATAGCTCAGTCCAGCCTTATCTAAACTCAGCAATCAGTCCTGACATCACTAAAAGCAGGACACCTAGACATATGTTCCTGCTGATATGATGCAATAAGAAATACATAGCACTCACTATGAAATATTCTTGCCAAGGGAAGTTGAACTTAAATTCAATCAGGTCTTTGGACTATTAATTTAAACAAAATACCCAAGATGAAGAAATATGTTAAATGACACATGGAGGGTATTGTTAACCAAATTTAAAATGTGAAAAAAAAATTAAGTCAAATGACCCAATTTCCTCAATAAGTAAATTATATGAAAAGAAAAAAAAAAAAGAAAAAGAAAGCTGGGATGTAGCTCAGTGGCAGAGCAAGTACTTAGCATGCACAAAACCCTGGGTTCAATCCCCAGCCCCCAGAAAAAGAAGAAAGGAAACTGAGAAATTGTCATAGATTAAACAAACATATCAACCAGGTACAGTATATAGACTTTGTTTAGAAGCTGATACAATTAGATTTAGTATTAAATACTATTAAAGGGTTGCTATGTAGTTTTGTGATTAAAATAAAGGTAGTGTTTTGAGTTTTCTTAAAATCATTACATGTTAGAGAATCATACTGAAATATATATGGATGAAAATGATAGAATATCTAGAATTTGAAAATACTTCAGGAAAAAGATGTCAGGGTTTAAATGAAATAAGAACTAACAGGTGTTACTGGTTGTTGAAGTTAGGTAATGGCTACATAGTGATCTATAATATTATTCTCTAAATGTTGTCTTTGAAATTTCCCATAATATAATGTTAAAAGAAAATGAGGATTGGCGCATGCCTGTAATCCCAGCGGCTAAGGAGGCCGAGGTAGGAGGATATAGAGTTCAAAGCCAAGCTTGGGCAATGGTGAGGTGCTTAGCAATTCAGTGAGACCCTGTTTCTAAATAAAATACAAAATAGGGCTGGAGGTGTGGCTCAGTGGTCAAGCACCCTTGAGTTCAATCCCCGGTACCAAAAAAAAAAAAAAAATGAGGTTATGCTAAAGAGTAAATATCTACTTCACTTTGTTGAAACACATTTCTAAATGTGTAATTCATATTTTTACCAAAGATAACTCAGTAATGTAGGGGTAAGGCCCTTTCAAGGCGACTTCATGGTCAAAACCATTTTTATGATAATAAAACGTTATTTGCTTTTTCCACTGTTAACATTTGCACTGAAGGTGCAAAAGCACTGTATGAGTAGAACAGTTACCTTAGGCACAAATCGAGACAGTGGCACTAAACTATACTAGTAGCCAGTACAGTCATCTCTTGGTAACTTCAGGAGATTGGTTCAATTTGTCTCCTACAAATATCCACAGGTGGTCAAGTATTTCATATAAAATGATTAGTATTTGTGTACAAACCATGCACATCCTGTGTACTTTAAATCATTTCTAAATTACTTATAGTGCTTAATATAATGTAAAAGCTACATAAATAGTTATTATATTGTTCAGGGATAATGACTAAGGAAAAAACTGTGTGTGTTCAGTACAGATGCAGTTTTTCCCCAAAATATTTTTTAATCCAGTTTCTTAAATCTATAGATATGGATTTATGGTCCTTTGGATACAGAGGACCAACTATATGTTCTTTCTTCAGTGTACTCACAGTTAAAAAATAAAATTCAGTGTCTGGGGCTGTAGCTCAGTGGCAGAGCGCTTGCCTGGCATGCATGAAGCACTGGGTTCGAGATCCTTAGCACCACATAAAAGTAAACAAATAAAATAAAGACATTTTGTCTATCTACAACTACCCAAAAAATAATAAAAAAAGAAGCAAAATTCAGTTTCTCTCAAGAATGTTCTTTATAAAACAGTAAAAGTTTTTAATTTTATTTGATCTCAACCCTTGAATATGCTACTTGTACTTCATTCTGAAATGGGGAAAACACTTGAGCCATTGTTCAAGTTTTGAGCTTGGCTAGTTACATTTTTTCATAGAACATCTTTTTAATTTGAAAGAAGAACTGAACGATAAATTATGGCTTTTCAGACTTGGATATTTAGCAGACATTTTTCAAAAAAATGAGCCTTGTCATTTTAAGGAAGACATGGCAGTGATTTATTGTCAGTGATAAAATTCAGGCATTCAAGTAGAAGTTAGAATTTTGGAAAATTTTTATTTTCCACCATGAACTTGACAGTTTTCCAATGCTTTAAAGATTTTCTTGATGAGAGCTGTGGTGATAATTGACAAGTATAATTTTCTGATATTGCATAATGAAATGTATCAACATTTGAAAGATCTGTATAACTGTTATCAATGTATTTTGCAAATGACCCATGTATGTATAAAATCATGCATGGGTAAAAGATCTATTTAAAGTACAAGATACAGTAATGGGTTTGTTTTTTTACTGTGATAAAATATACATAATGAAATTTACTATTTTAACAATCTTTAAGTGTACAGCTCAATAGCATGAAGTACATTCACATTGTTTTATAACCATCACCACTATCCATTCTAGAACTTTTTCATCATCCCAAGTAGAAACTATACCCACTTAACAAAAACTCCCACACCACCTGCCCCTTCTGCCATCTGGTGACCACTATCTTATTTTCTGTCTCTGTCAATTTTATTATTCCAGTTACCTTATATAACTGTGAGGCTAATGCATTCTAATGTACCTGTATGAAAAATTCACTGATGTAACTTTCAGATTCCACATTACATGCAATCTTTAAGAAACAACCGCTTGTTGGATCTTGGGATAGTATTAAAGAATATCCACAGTTAGCTGAAAAGTTTGCTAAAATACTCCTTCTTTTATAAATATATATCTATTTAAGATTAGATTATCTTCATATACTTTAACCAAAACAACATATTGAATATTGAATACAAAAAGCACAGCTGCCTTCTTTTAAGCCATACATTAAAGAATTGCAAAGATTACTCAGTGCCACTGTTCTTACTAAATATTTTTGTTTAGGAAAAGAGGTCCTTTGACGAGAGTTCTCCTGCTACAAACCTGGCTTCGGGTGATGACTTAACTTCTCAACATCCTATAATTTATCTACAAAATTTATCTCCCTAGCCTGTGTCTTAGGACTACTAACAGAAAAAATTAAAGAACAAACAATAGTATTAATTAGAATTTAGAAGAAAATTATGTTGAGAAAGAAAGGCTGCTTGTAAACTTTAAAATTCAACTCTGAACCGCTTTGAGTTAGTTATGTGCCTGTTATCAGGTAGGTATTTTCTGTTAGACAAGGAAATTCTGTTATTCCCAAAATTTTTAAAAACCTGCTTGGAGAAAAATGGTCCAAGAATTCTAGAAAATAGAACCAAACTAAAATGGAAAATGAACTTAAAAGGCCAATAGCAAATGAGTATAGAAATTAATAGGGAAATTGTATTCATTTTACTATTCAGTGGTCTTTTAGGAAAATCTGAGTTTAGGAAAGGATTTGTTTTCCTCATTGTCGAGATCATTCTTTTATATTTCCAGAACTTACTCTTCTTTGTTTTAAATCTCATTCCTGATTCTTTGGTGGATTTTGACTCAGGGCACAAGAGACTACAGTCCCCGGCAGATGGCAGTTCGGGAGAAGGTTTTTGATGTAATCATCCGCTGCTTCAAACGCCATGGTGCAGAAGTAATTGATACACCTGTGTTTGAACTAAAGGTAAGAGAAGTGTGAAGAGAAATATATGCTTTTCATAATAGAAGTCATTCTCGCTCCTATTTACACTGAATTCCATAGCATCTGTACTTGGGATGTTTTCTAGATACATGGACGCCCCTATGTATATGAAGTATAAATATGCAACCAGTATCCCTTTGATGGACCCTACAGTTGTTTCTAGTTCTTTGCTATTAAAAACCAGCTTGCCCCAGCAACTTGGGAGGCTGAGGCAAGAGGATTACAAGTTCAAAACCAGCCTCAGCAACTTAGCAAGACCCTGTCTTAAAATAAAAAATAAAAAGGACTGGGCATGCTCAGTGGTAAAGCACTCCTGGGCCCAATCCCTGGTCAAAAAAAAAAAAAAAAAACCCACACAGATTGCATCAATATCTGCTTGATGCCCATTACACTCAAAATACAATTCTGGCTCTTTACTTGAGCTTAGGAGGCCCTAGATCACCTGGCCACTGCCTTTTCCGCTTTATCTCATGCTATTTTCCCCCTTACCCATTATATTATTCTGGTCTTCCTTCTAATCCTGGAACATATTAAATATGTTTTACCTCAGGATGTTTAATATTCTTGCTCTTCCCTTTTCCCAAACTGTTTTTTTCCCCAGCTCTTTGCATGACTTTAGTTTCAGAGTAAATTAAATTAGAGATTGCAGGCTTTAGTTTTAGATCTCAGCTTAGATACCATTCCTCAAATAATCCTCTCTGAATTGTCTACAGTAACCCCTCTCTATCACATCAACCTATTTTATGTCTTTTAGAGTAATTGTGACTATCTGAAATTATCTGTTAATTTCTTTCCTTGCATAATATAGTACCTGTTTCTTCTCACTGCCTTTGTCTTGTTCACTGATATATACTCAGTGCTTAGAGCAATGTCTATTCATGGGCATTTATCTACAGGGCAAATTCATATAAATGGAATTGCTGGGTCAAAAGATTGAACCCACTGGGCACACACCTGTAATCCCAGCAGCTCCAGAGACTGAAACAGGAGGATCGCAAGTTCAAAGCCAGCCTCAGCCTTAGCGAGGTCCTAAACAACTCAGTGAGACTATGTCTCTAAATAAAATACAAAAAAGGGCTGGGGATGTGACTCAGTGGTTGAATGTCCCTGGGTTCAATCCCCAGTACCAAAAAGAAAAATTTTGAACCCATTTATATTTTTACAAACTATTCATGTGCTAGAGCCACAGACTGGGTAGCATAAACAACAGAAATTAATCTTTTCACAGTTCTGGAGACCAAAAGTTTGAGATAAAGTATTGGCAAGGTTGGTTCATTCTGAGGGCTATGAAGGAAGAATCTATTCCATGGTTTATAGATGGCCATCTTCTTCCTTTTGTCTTCATATCAACTCTTTGGGGCCAAATTTCTTCTTCTCATAAGTTCACCTGATATATTGAATTAAGGCCTTAGCTTAATTATCTCTTTAAAGACTCTGTTCCCAAATACAATCACATTCTCAGGTTACTAGAGGTTAGGACTTCAACATGAATTGGGGTACTCATAGTTCAGCTAAAAACAATAATCAGCATGTGTTTCTTATTCAAGGCACTGGGAATTTTCAGGCTTTTTACATCTTCGGCAGTCTGATGACTGAAATATGTTGTCGAACACATCACAGGTTAAGGACTGCTATAATACCTTTAAGACATTCTGTTTTAGCTTTTGACATTATTTAGTTCTCTCAAGCATTATAAAAAACACTTGTTTGTTGGTCTAATAACCCCTCTTAGAAGCATTTCCACAAGAAAAATATTCAAAAACAGAAAAGATATGTATCCAAATAGGCTTATTGAAATGTTACAGAATATTTCTAAAAATTAGAATAACCTGGTGTGTACAGTTCTCACACGTATAATCTCAGCTGCTTGGGAAACTAAGGCAAAAGGATTACAAATTTGAGGCCAGCCTAGCAACTTAGCTTTTATTATGAGACTGCTGTTATATAATAAAAGTACATAAATAATTGCTCAATGGTAGAGTACCCCTGGGTTCAATCTCCTCAACCACCAGCAAAAAAAAAAAAAAAAAAAAAAAATAACCTAAATACCTAAAAAGATAACAATAGGGAGGAAGTAAATACAGAGCTTCTTCTCACTGGAATATTGTACATCTTTTTAAAAAAATATTTTAAGCCCAGATACATGGCATGCATCTGTAATCTCAGAGACTCGGGAGGCAGAGGTAAGAGGATCACAAGTTTAGGCCAGCCTCACCAACTTAGTGGGGCCCTAAGCAATTTAGCAAAATTCTGTTTCAAAGAAAAAAGGTCTGGGGATGTAGCTCAGTGGCAAAGTGCCCCTGGGTTTAATTCCCATTACAAAAATAATTATAATTTCGGCCAAGCACAGTGGTGCATGCCTGTAATCCCAGTATCTCAGGAGACTGAGGCAGGAGAATCTCAAGTTAGAGGCCAGCCTCCACAATTTAGCAAGACCCTTCTCAAAATCTTAAAGAAGAGGGGACTGGGATGTAGTTCAGTGGTTCAGCACTTGCCTAGTATGTTGAGGCCATGAGTTCAATCCCCAGAATCACAAAATAATAATAATATTGCTTTAGCTCTATCACAGAATGGAAAAGTAATAAGAAAAATCAATGTAAAATTGGTGTTTCCTTTTTATTTTAACTGCATCAAACACATAAGCATTGGAATAAAGAGCAGAGGGAATATGGACACGTTGAAATTAGTCATGTTAGCATAGTGGATTTTTGTTTTCAAAACTTTCTTTTAAATTATTGTGACCATATTTCTTTGTTTTCTCCAGGAAACACTAACAGGAAAATATGGAGAAGACTCGAAGCTTATCTATGACCTGAAGGACCAGGGTGGGGAGCTGTTGTCCCTTCGTTATGATCTTACTGTATCTTTCTAAACCTGGGCTCTTTAGACTTTGGATGGATTAACTCTTACTAGGCTGTGGCTATTTCTAGCCTCAGGTATAGGGACAGGCAGACAGGTAAGATTAAATATGAAGCCTCAGGCAATTAGGGGATTATTTCTCTAAACCAGTAATGGGATATTACTAAAGAGCACAGCCTTAGAAATCTTTTGAATCCCAAGTGAGACTTCAGCTTTATGTCAAGGCCCAGATCCCAGTTCTACAACAATCCCCTGGCTCAGAATATTTCTCCCCTGCCATTTGTAGTAGATAGAGTTCTCTTTTGTTGGCCAACAGCACAGTTCCTTTATCTCCAAGCTACACAGAGAATCTTCTGTTTAGAGATTTCCCCATGGCTCAGTGGCAGAGCACTTGTGCCCAATCTGCTCTGTGCCCAATCTGCTTAGCCCCCTGCTGTGTGAGCACAATGAGAGGAGACACTATCAAAGAGGAAGGAGTCCTCTTTTTGAGACTTCAGCTGCTCTTTACGGTATCACTATTGATTCTGTCTGATGTTCAAAAATGCTTTTAATCTTATGGGTGGTGGTTTTGCCTATACAGGGTGAGGTTAGACCCCAGCTTCTGTAGGTGATGATAACTTCCAAACTGTGATAGGAGGAACTTCCTCCTTAACTCTCTGTCATCAGGTTCCTTTTGCTCGGTATTTGGCAATGAATAAACTGACCAACATTAAACGTTATCACATAGCTAAGGTATACCGGCGGGATAATCCAGCCATGACCCGAGGCCGATATCGGGAATTCTACCAGTGTGTGAGTACTGGGAAACTTTGGGGTAGGATGGGTAACTCCAGCTCTTCTTCAAGCCACTAGAATACTGAATACTGTGGTGTCTTATACTGGTTGTCTCAATAATGTTTCTAGGTTTCCATGTTGTTTTCATATAGATTTCACAATGGCCTTATGGGGAAGGGAAGAGAGATTTTCTCCATTTTACATAGACGTAAACTTGAGCCAGGTGCGGTGGCGCATGCCTGTAATGACCCAGCAGTTGAGGAAGCTGAGACAGGAAGATCTCGAGTTCAAAGCCATCCTCAGCAATGGTGAGGTGCTAAGCAACTCAGTGATTCCCTGTCTCTAAATAAAATACAAAATAGTGAGCTGGGATTGTGACTCCATGGCACAGCGCTTGCCTAGCATGTGTGAGGCACTGGTTTCAATTCTTAGCACCAAGTATCAAAAAATAAAATAAAGGTCCATTGACAACTAAAAATACGTTTATTTATTTAATCATTATTTTATTTGCTTATTTATTTTTATTGATGCTGGGGATTGAACCCAGGGCCTCACATATGTGAGGCAAGTGCTCTACCCCTGAGCTACAACCCCAGCCCCAAAACAATATATTTTTAAAAATACAAAATAGGACTGGGGATGTAGCTCAGTGGGTGAGTGCCCCTAGGTTCAACAATCCCTGATACTCCCCCCCCCCACCAAAAAAAAAAAAAAAGAAGTAAACTTGATATTCAGCAGATGATGAGATCAGGTCTAGTGCTTTTTATATTAAACCACTATGATAAGATTACATAAGTGGATGAGGAAATTCAATTTGAGATATCAAATCATCCGAGCTGCCACACAGCCTTGTAGGTTCAAAACAGGGACTCCTTTATTCTCCGCACTCCCACGAACTCCACCCTAGAGGAGGTGAGGACACACCACACACCAACCGGAAATCCCTCCTCAGGCATTTCCCCAACCAATGGGAACTCTCCAGAAATCCCCTCCAAAGTAACAGGCCCAGAGTGACAGCAGGGGTCTAATATTACAATTGAATACACAGCTTAACATAACCATTATCATCTCAATGGCTTGCTCATGGCCCTCAGCTTCTGATGAATAGAAAAAAATGGTTAATGACTAAGGCTGAATAATTGCCTTATAACAATAGGAGGAATTAGGGAAAACCTGATGAAGATATAGATAATGAAGGAAAATAGCCCAATACATAGAAAGGAAACCACAACTGGGATTTTCCTCTGAGCTGATGATTGCTTGTAGAAAGTGAATGAGAAAGTCTGTGCTTGAGTGCAAATAGGCTTTCACAGAGAGCTGAGCTCCCAAGAGTCTCTCCTAAGATGTTTCAAACTCTGAGACCCTTTAACTACCCCTCTTCCTTCAGGATTTTGACATTGCTGGGCAATTTGACCCCATGATTCCTGATGCAGAGTGCCTGAAGATCATGTGTGAGATCCTGAGTTCACTTCAGATAGGCGACTTCCTGGTCAAGGTCAGAACTGAACAGGGCTGGGAGGCAAGGTAGGGCCTGGATTCTCACAGGAGAAAGTCCTTGTGCAAAGGAACCAATAGCCCCGGTTATCAAGGAATATTGAGGTCACAAAAAAGAAAGATATTCCCTCTTCATCATGTCTTGGGTCCCCACAGGTTAATGATCGGCGCATCCTCGATGGAATGTTTGCCATCTGTGGTGTTCCTGATGACAAGTTCCGTACCATCTGCTCCTCAGTGGACAAACTGGACAAGGTAACAACCCAAGCACCTGACTCTCTTCCTAGATCCCACTCTGCCTTGAGAAATGAAAAATAAAATTAGGAGGAGGAAGTGCCTGCCTCTGTGCCCACCAAAGAAAGTTTAGCCCCAGGATCTAAGTTGAAAGGCAGCTTCTGCTCTAAGACTACCCCCACGGAGGGTCCACCCTGCTTAGGTAGGGAAGCTGTCCAGGGTCGATAACTGGTATCTCTCTGTCCAGGTATCCTGGGAGGAAGTGAAGAATGAGATGGTAGGAGAGAAGGGCCTTGCACCTGAAGTAGCTGACCGCATTGGGGACTATGTCCAACAACATGGTGAGGAACAGAACCCAGCCTCCCCATCAGCCTCCCACTGCTCTCAGTCCTAAGTGTGTGTAGAGAGTGAGTGTGTGTGCTAATATACACATGTGCTTGCATTTCAGGCAAAAAGTTGAACCTACTGCCTTTTTCCTCTCCTGGACAATCTGGCTCATGAATCTTTCTCCCCAGGTGGGGTATCTCTGGTGGAGCAGCTGCTACAGGATCCTAAATTATCCCAGAGCAAGCAGGCCTTGGAAGGCCTAGGAGATCTGAAGTTGTTGTTTGAGTACCTGAACCTGTTTGGCATTGCTGACAAGGTAAGTCAACTTGGGGATGGAGGCCCTGGCTGACCTCTGAGGCTTCAGGTCCCTGATCCTAATCTGTACTGACCATATCCTTATCTCCACAGATCTCCTTTGACCTGAGCCTTGCTCGAGGACTAGACTACTATACTGGGGTGATCTATGAGGCAGTGTTGCTACAGACCCCAACCCAAGCAGGGGAAGAGCCTCTAGGTGTAGGCAGTATAGCTGCTGGAGGGCGCTATGATGGGCTGGTGGGCATGTTCGACCCCAAAGGGCGCAAGGTGCCATGCGTGGGGCTCAGCATTGGAGTGGAGCGGATCTTCTCCATCGTGGAGCAGAGATTAGAGGTAGGTCCTAGGGTGTGGGTACAAGACAGTCTGGGAAGGCAGTGGCATCTAAGCTACCTTTGATCTCCAAGTGAGCAAGAAATACAGAAAAGATGATTGTTGGCCTTCACAAATTCTAACCCAATTAAAGCCCCTTTTTATGGATATTTGATCTGTCTCCACTAAATCCTGTGCTCTGGACCCCTGCTTCCTCAGGGCTGTCAGGAACCTAGGCTGGTGAATCCAAAATTCAAGTCTTCCTCATAACAGAATACTTAATATTTTAATGTTATATGTCGGGACAGTGCTTGGTGATTTTCATGCATTAGCTAATTCTGGCAAATAGCCATCTATTTAGCATAGCTATTTTTTTTGCATGTTTTTATATATGAAATTGATAATTTGCTCAAAGTCATGAAACTTTTAAGTGGCAGAGTCAGAATTTAAATTCAGGTAGCCAAACTCAAGTCTTACTCCTAACCACTCTATAACATTCTTTCTCGGTGGGCAGTATGTGTCTAAGACTTGAGATGGCTGCCTTGTCTCTCTAGCACCTAGATTAACACCAAGGAAGCCCCTCATGGCCTCAAGCCCTCCTTTTTTTTTTCTTTTTTTTTTTTTTTAAACTGAGGGGGATACTAGGGATTGAACTCAGGGGCACTGGACCACTGAGCCACATCCCTAGCCCTATTTTGTATTTTATTAGAGACAGGGTCTCACAGAGTTGCTTAGCGCCTCACTAAATTGCTGAGGCTGGCTTTGAACTCACAATTCTCCTGCCTCAGTCTCCCAAGCCACTGGGATTACAAGTGTGCGCCACAGCGCCCAGCTAAACTTTATTTTTCTTTTATGCGGTGCTGAGGATCAAACCCAGTGCCTCATATTTACTAGGCAAGCACTCTACCAGTGAGCCACAATATCAGCCCCAAGCCCTCCTTTCATGCTACTGCTCTTAAATGGCTGGCTGCATTTTATCCTTAGGAATATTCTGGCAACCTTCCCAATGTTCCTGTGTTACTATAGTCATAGCAGGACCTCTTCTACAGGGTGGACATGATGCGTGTTTCCCAGTTGAGGTCCAATGTAGGCATCTTACATTGTAACAACTTTTTTTTTAAAGTTATTGATAGAACTTTATTTTTATTTATGTATATGTGGTGCTGAGATTTGAACCCAGTGCCTCACACATGCTAGGCAAGCGCTTTACCACTGAGCTACCACCCCTAGCCCACATTGTAAGAACTTTGACAGTAATTTCCAGAAAAAGTCAAAGGGTAGCAGCAGCATTTGCCCTTGTCCCCCATACCGTGGGTTCTGCCCTAGAACTGAAGTATTAGAGACATAGTCTCCTGAATGGACAAGTAGTTAAGTAGGGACTTTAGAAGGCCAGGGCTGATTTGCTTGCCTGGGATGGCCTCATAGTAGTACTTCTTTGTGAATGTTCTTATGGACCTTTAACATATTAGACAGAAATGAGCTTGAAATAATGCAAATAAGATATATTTTCCCTTGCCCTAGATTATTTTTTCTGGCAAGGCATATGTATAAGTTTATTTCTTCTATCTTCTGAGAGCTACCCTAAGCTAAATTGCTACATGAGAACACCAATACCCTTCCCTGGTGAAACTCACTGACTTGGACCTAGTCTCTCAGAATGCTAAGTAGAGCCTACCCTGTCAGTGTTTGCTCCTTGACAGTGTTAGCCCTGCTGTCTGACTTTTATCTGCCCATTCACCAGGCTTTAGAGGAGAAGGTCCGGACCACAGAGACACAGGTGCTTGTGGCATCTGCACAGAAGAAACTGCTGGAGGAGAGACTGAAGCTTGTCTCAGAGCTGTGGGATGCTGGGATCAAGGTAGGGTACAAGCCCCAGGATGACAGCAAACTTGGAAATGCTAGGCACAAACTAAATAGAAGTTCATCTATAGGGTCTTTTGCAATTATTTCTTTTTTTTTTAATATTTTTTTGTTGTTGTCAATGGACCTTTATTTTACTCAGTTATATGCGGTGCTGAGAATTGAACCCAGTGCCTCACACATGCTAAGCAAGTGCTCTACCACTGAACTACAACTCCAGCCTGCAATTATGTCTTGAGGTGGAACTAAGAGCAGGATGCCAGTTTGAGTTTCCAAGAATTTGTCCCTGAAGATAGCAGAAGCCAGTCTTCATCATCTGCCCTGGTCCCTTGCAGGCTGAGCTGCTCTACAAGAAGAACCCAAAGTTACTGAATCAGTTGCAGTACTGTGAGGAAGCAGGCATCCCACTGGTGGCCATCATCGGGGAGCAGGAGCTCAAGGAAGGGGTTATCAAGCTCCGTTCAGTGGCTAGCAGGGAAGAGGTAAGGGGGAGGTCAGGAATGCCAAGGAAGGAGAATATAAGCCAAGTTGATGGGCTCATGCCCATTTGAGACCTGAGCAAAAGCCTGGCATTCATATAGTACAAATGCTTAAAGGAGTTAAATAAGGACTTAACATGTTACTATGGTCATAGCAGGATAAGATATCCAATACCACATATACCCTGTGTCTTTCTGTCTCCTGAAGAGGCACGGACTACTTTAGGGTGTCTGAATGGGTTCTTGCTCCGAGTGAGCCAAATCTGATGACTAAAAGAAGTAGGCACTCAAGGAGCAATGGAGTGGAAGATGCTTATACTACCTTCTTCCCTGTCCTGCCCAGGTGGACGTCAGAAGAGAAGACCTTGTGGAAGAGATCAGGAGGAGAACAAGCCAACCCCTCTGCATCTGCTGAACTGAGTAAACTATGAAAGGAAAGTGGGACTGGCATTGTTTGAGACTAAAACAAAACTGCATATGTACTTCAACAGCTTTGCACATTCCTGTTGCAGCAGGAAGACTTCAAATGTGGTCAGAACAGAGACTTTTTATTTTTATTATGATTATCTTACTGGTAATCAGTGACAAAAGTGGCCAAGTACTACACCACTTTTATAGAAGGCCATGGGGATTAGACGAGTCTTTTTCCTGAGTTACCTGTGGGGGTTCTGAAATGGCCTCAACCACAGGGTCCCATACCAGATGGAGCAGATGTCTTCCTGCAACTAATCGCCAAAGGTCTAATAAAATGTCTCAACCACTGGAGCCTGTCCGTTTCATTAATGCCTAGCATCGCCTTCCCCATCTGAGCCTGACCCACCCATTCAGATCAAGTCAGGAGTGGAAACGGCCCATGAGCTATCCCCCAAGGTGAAAGGGGCACCCAGGGGCCACCACCCTCCCCATTGCAAATGACTCCACTCCTTGGGATGCAAGCCTGGCTCGCCAGGGTTTCTAGTTTTCCACTTGAGTGTCCAAGGGCCCATGGCGCACGTGCAGTGGTTACCTCCACCCTCGGGAGGCGGGGTCGCGCTCTGCCAATAAGAGCTGGAGGCGGGGGTGGAGGGTAGGGAAGATTCCAGAGGCCCACGGAGGGAGTTATAAAAGAGGGTGCTGGCGGCCTTGGATAGAGCCATGCAGTCCAAACGCGAGTGTGAGGTAAGTAGTTGGCGAGCTCCGCCTGTGCAGGGGATTTTCCGCAGGGATCCCAACTTTGTAGGCGAGGTGGGGACTTACTTGGTGATCCGCCATTCCAGCCTGCCTTTTTTCTCTCAGCAATGGTGTGAAAGAGTGAATCCTGAGAACAAGGCGGCCTTGGAGGCATGGGTTAGAGAGACGGGCATTCACCTGGTGCAGGTGAACGGGCAGAGGAAATACGGCGGGCCACCCCCAGGTACCGTAGCCCTAGCCCCTATGCCTGCACTTGCTGCGCCGGCACCCATTGAGGGAGGGCCTGCCCCGAGGTTCCGCAGTAAGAAACCCCTAACTACCGGAGAGCAGATGTGGAAATTTATCCAGTTACCCGGTCACTCTCCCGTCGAGGAGCACCTACCCTGTGCCACCCGCATTGTTTGCTGTCACCTATTATGCCTATAACCTAAGTGGGATACGGGCATTCCCATTTTATAGACGTTCGGTGGCATCGCCCCCTCCCTTGCTGGTTCCTTGGGCTCAGACGTCCATGGAACCATCCCGGTGACTGACGGTGCCCCTCTACACCCTCTTCCCCAGGCTGGGTGGGAAGCCCACCGCCGGCTGGGTCAGAGGTGTTTATCGGACGGCTGCCCCAGGACGTGTATGAGCACCAGCTGATTCCACTATTCCAGCGCGTGGGCCGCCTCTACGAGTTCCGCCTAATGATGACCTTCAGCGGCCTGAACCGCGGCTTCGCCTACGCCCGCTATAGCTCGCGGCGCGGCGCCCAGGCCGCCATCGCCACGCTGCACAACCACCCGCTGCGGCCCTCCTGCCCGCTGCTGGTGTGCCGCAGCACTGAGAAGTGCGAGCTGAGCGTAGACGGATTGCCGCTGGGCGTAAGCCGCCGCGCGCTATTGCTTGCGCTGCAGCCGCTGGGTCTCGGCCTGCAGGAGGCGCTGCTGCTGCCCAGTCCCGGACCTGCGCCCGCACAGATCGCGCTGCTGAAATTCAGCTCGCACCGCGCAGCTGCCATGGCCAAAAAGGCCCTGGTAGAAGGTACGGGTGGAGGCTGCGGGGAGGCGGCTGGTTGGCACTTAATGTCCTAAAATCTTAGGGTCAAGCGTGCTTGAGTTTGCTACCTAACACTAATTCCAATAGTGCTACACCTACCACTTACACGGAACATTTCTCCTTGCATTCCCTAGACGACTTCTTTAACATTTCAATGAAAAAACTGACTTGCCCTAGGGAGCCCAACTAAGCCTACCTTTTATCTATTGTAGAACTTGATTCCTTAGACCAGTGTGAATTAAATACAATGGGTAGCCCCAAAGGTTAGCTATTGTAATGGCTATGAGGTAGATAAAGCCTGCTTCATACTACTCCAAGGAATCTTAGAGGGCAGCAGTTTTTACACCCCCTTTACACATAAATACAGTGAAGCCTAAAGAAGTTGTTTAACTTACCCAGGGTTACACAGCCAGGAAGTGAGGAGGCTCTAAATTAAACACAGGCTTATGTAACCCCAGAAGGTTCAGAGTCTGGGGAACTTGGGCCCAGGGCTTAGACTTGCCCTTATCTCTTGCCTTTTTCCTGCAGGGCAATCACGCCTCTGTGGAGAACAGGTGGCTGTGGAGTGGCTCAAGCCAGACCTGAAGCAGCGACTGCGCCAGCAGCTCATGGGTCCCTCTATGCGGTGCCTACAACCAGATAGCAACCGACTAGCCCTGGCCAGGGACAAGCTAGGGTCCCAAGGGGCTAGGGCTGCCTTGCAGCTACTCTGCCAAAGAATGAAGCTGGGCAGCCCAGTATTCCTCACCAAGTGTTTGGGCACAGGACCTGCTGGCTGGCACCGTTTTTGGTACCAGGTAGTGATCCCTGGGCATCCAGTGCCTTTCAGTGGCCTCATCTGGGTTGTACTGGCTCCAGATGAGCAGGACGGGCATGAGGTGGCCAAGGATGCTGTGTCTGCACGGCTTCTGGAGGCACTGAGTGATTCTGGGGCCAGCCTCCTGTGGTATGCTGGGGCTGAGGCAGGTGCTATGGTTAAGCAGTGACCTCATCCTCTCCACAGGCAGCTTGAACAGGTAGGCAGAGCCTGTGTCTGTCTGCAGCCCAGCAGGCCTGGGCAGTCACTATCTGATCCCACAAGGGGAAGTGGCACAGGCCCTGCCCTAGGCCTGAGACAGCCACCCTGCTGGGACAGGGCCCCATCACACCTGGGGCTTTGTCTTAAGTTGTGGTGAGGGACCTTGGCCTCCCCCTTTGAGCCTAGGGTCTAACCTGACCCTGTATTCTTCCTTGGTCTTTCCCTGTGGCACACATCATACCTGTCTACCTGCCCCCATCCAAGCTTAGCATGAATCGTGTATTTCTCTTTATTTTTATTTGGGGAATTTGCTGAGCCAAAGGGTTGAAGCCTGTCCTTTTACCACTTGTCCTTCTGGTTTTGGTTCACGTATGGTTTTGAGCTTTTCTATGCTAATTGTATTTATATTAAACCCCTCGTTGGTATACACACGTGTCTGTGCTGTCTTGCCACAGTTGAGGGTTTGTTTTCTGGTAGTGAGCAGCTGCTATAGAGCAAGTACTTCCCACTTCAGTGCCCTGAATCCTGGGCCTCTGTGCAACTTCTTACTCTGCACAACACAAATTGATGTTGTAGCTAAGTAGGTTCAATCTCCAGCACCAAAAATGATTTGAATATTCATGTCCTCTTTGGAGGTCCATTCCAGGAAGCAAGGCTCTTTCATATAAAGACCTGTCCTCATCCTCTCAGTCACTGTCATTCTCACTGTCCTCCTCTTCTGAAACCTTGGAATCTTCTCCCTCTTCCCTCAGCCCTGCAAAGAAGTCATCAGTGCTCCAAGCCTTGCTGCTAAGAGCACGCAATGGGCCTCCCTTTTTCTTGCGTCGACGGTAGTCATCCACCACCACAGCACGTAGCTGGGTCATGTCCCAAAACTTGACATGCTGGTCATGACCACTGCTGGCTAAGAAGCGGCCACAATGGGAAAGAGCCAGCTCTTCCACAGGTTCTCCAGCATGCTGGCCCACACTGCCCACCACTCGATTTGGCAGGATGTTCACAGCCCTGGGTGGGGAAAGAACAATGTTGGGTACTGGCTAGCTGGACTTGTCCTTTTTGTAACCAAGGGTTGTCCCAGCTTCCCTTACCTGATGATTCCATCAGTGGAGCCAGTGCACAGCAGACTTTCAGTGACTGGAATCATACAGTCAATGGACTCAGCTCTTAGGGCAAAGCGGTCACTTGTAGCCCCAAAACCGTTCCAGTTAAAGAGATAGATGGTACCTTCACTAGATCCACAGGCCACTTTCTTCCCATGCTGAAGGAAATAAAGAAAAACATGTCTGTGGAGCCACCTGAAACTACACCTTTATCTAGCACATACACACACACCCCATCCCATCATTCCCAGCTGTACTTTCATGAGAGTGACAGAAGTCAGGTCCCCGGACTGAGCTTCTGAGAGCAGCTCGAACCGACGTCGCTTGATATTGAAGACTCCAAGGCAGCCATCCCCACTGCAGAGAGTAGAGCACTAACTTAGCCAAAAGTTTCTTTGAGGAAAACTGAATCGGGGACAGGAGGGGTAAGGAGGCATCTCTGAGGCTGTACCTGGCTGTTAGTAGCAACTTCTTTCCTGGGTCCAGGGCCATGTCAGCAATGTATTCCTCATGCTGCCGCATATCCATCAAGGGGCCCTCCTTCCGAAGGTCCCAGAGCCGGACTCCACCTGTGTCATCCCCAGTGGCCAAAACATTCTCATCCACCAGCAGCAGACTGTTGATGGGGGCACTGGAGAGGCAGATGCAGAACTTTCTTAGAGTATCTGTCCTCATAGGGACCTCCTGATCCCTACCACTCACTTCAGTGCGCAAATAACTGGCTCCCTTACCTATGAGCCTTGGAAATACGTCTTTCCAGTCGGCCCTGTTCCACATCTAGAACATGGATGGCTTTGTCCTTGGAGACAGTAACAAGTTCTGGAAGGAAAGGTGCTCAGGTCATAGTGCTGCTCACTGCACCATTCCCACATTACCAGCTGTCTTTACCAGTACTTACTCTGCCCATCTTCAGAGAAGACCACAGCTCGGCAGGACTTGAGATGGTGACCTGAGGACCAAAGTTCCTTGGTTTCTCCCTCTTGGCAAGAGTAGGAAAACCTAGGGAGAGGGGAGGGAGGTGAATGACCCTCAGGCCATGCCTGGGATACATGGAGTGTAGAGACCAACTAGGTAGACCAACCTTCTGACCTAAATAAGCACTCTTGCTTGCACACCTCCGAGCCCAAAGAGCTTACCACCGTTTATCCATTTCCAGTGAGCTTCAAATGTTAAAGTTTTTCAGTAGACATTAATTCAAGGTGTTTTTGCATAGGACTTCTCTGTGATTTCCCTCCACCCTTTCTTTTACCATCCTTTGAAAAGATTGGGTCTGGACCACTATGGAGGCCCAGAAATTCTTGTTAAATCAGTGATAGAAAACTAGCCCCCAAAAGAAGGGTGAACATCAGGGTATGTGCCCTCCATGTCCCCAGGAGCTAAGAAACAAAAAAGGCTGGGGATATTGCTTAATGGTAAAAACAAGTAGCAAAAAAAAAAAAAAAAAAAAAAAAGTGAAGCAGAAAGGCAGTAGCCTATAAACTCATCCTTCAAGCAATTACCCATCAAGGAATATCATAGTGCTTGCCTCCCCAACAGATCATTCAGTATAGCTGAATGAGATCCCACAGGACAAGCAGTCTGATTTTAATCTCGAGAAAAGGAACCCTTTCACAATGGTTATGGGAAGAAGAGTCAGAGGCCCAATAGAAGGCAGCAACTGAGGATAAACAGAATTGGATGACAAACAGAGGAAGGAGCACTGGAAATAAAGGTGGAGGTCTAGAGAACTCCCAAGTTTATCTTGCACTATAAATACAGATAGTAATAGAAAAGAACCTATATTTGTTGATCTACTTGGGGGCAATACTGAACATTTGTCCCCTCTGAAGATAAGTATTGTTTCCATTTTTAGAAATATAAATACAGAAGTTAACCTGCTATAAACCTTCATAACTAATGAGGGGTTAAAGTAAATTTCATAACAACCCTCCTGGTTATAAACTTTAGTGGCTTTCCACTGCTTCCTGCCTACATTTCTTGCTCAAAATCAAACTTGTATTGAACACCTTACTTGAATTAGAGGGAAGAGATAAAATGGAGAACAAAACAGACTATATACTACACTCCTGACAAGTGTTTTTCAAATTCCAGTCATAATCCATTAGTGAGCTGCAATCAGCACTTTGTGTGCATGTAATAATGATAAAGAAGAAATTATCAGAATACATTATACATAAATATAAATGGTATTATTACAATGGGGCAAAGCCAAAAGTTTTAAAAACCTTAGTGAAGAAGACAAGCATTCAAATAACTACACCAGCAGATGTATGGCTACCAGCAATTATAAAGTTTATGAGGGAAAAGGACAATGGCATCTGGCAGGTATCTAATTTTTTTTCAGATTCTAATATTTATTTAGTTATAAGTGGACACAACATCTTTATTTTATGTGGTGCTGAGGATCGAACCCAGTGCCTCTTGCATGCTAGGTAAGTGCTCTACCTCTGAGCCACAACCTTAGCCCTAGATATCTAATTTTAAGTCTGGGGAATGGTGGAAGAGGGAAGAGAGGCTGAGAGCTCTGGAATAGTAGGTAAAGGGGAGGGGAAAGTATTTTCCAAACATAAGGAATAGCATGTGCAAAGGTGCTGAGGCTTCAAGATACTGAGCAAGGAAAGGGTGAATGAGCACAGAAAGCAAAAGAGTACAGACATGGGCCTAGCGGAAAAGGACTTGAAAGCCAAATTAAGGGGTCTCTTCTAAATCCTAAAAGCAGATTATTGAAGGATTTTTAACCTCGGGGGTGACGTGATCAGACGTGTTTTTAAAAGATCAGTTAAAGGTGGAAAATCACGGAGCCCATTAATCCTGGTCGGGCTCAAAATAATCGATGGTAAATAAGTCTCATACACCCTTTATTCTGCTAAGCTCTTGTGAGTCACGAAGTTCCAGCTTTGTCTTTTCAGTTCGTTCAACAAATTGTGTGGTAACTTGGTTAAGTCAAACGTTAAGGAACGTATGAGATTAAATGAAATCCTGCAAAATGAGTTTCCCTGCAACATTTTCTCCTCCCTCGTCCCCGCTCCATCCCTGGGAAAGGGGACACCATGCCACTAGCCCAGCACCTCACTCACACGAATACGTCCCCGTCCACATCCCCTGCTGCCAGCAGGTCTCGGGTTGGATGGAAGGCCAGCCCACTGGCCGGCGCTTCCAGCACAATATCTTCCGGGGTGTCCCGGATCCGGGACGGGGATTCGGTGGAGTCAGGGTTTTCCTCCTCGCTCTCATCCTCGGCGGGTCTCTCCGCACACGTGCTTTCCATGCTGGGGATGATTTGGAGGCGAAATTGCCGGCTGGCTAGCGACAAGCGAAGTAGGCTCAACGCGGAAGTTGTGCCCCAGCACGCCGCTTCGGCGTCGGGGGCGGGGAGAGGGCGGGGCCGGAAGCGCCTTGTCAATACCCTCCTCAGTCACTTCTTTTTTTTTTTTTTTTTTTTTTTAACTTTTTTTTTTTAGTTATGGGCAGACACAACATCTTTTATGTGGTGCTGAGGATCGAACCCGGGCCGCAAGCATGCCAGGCGAGCGCGCTACCGCTTAAGCCACATCCCCAGCCCCCTCAGTCACTTCTTATAAAGTCGGAACTGCACATAAGTCCTCTCCCCTCACACTATCCCATTCTGGTGGATGCTCCCTCAGGTAACTAGGAGGAGGACTTAATTCATTCTTAAATAGGAGAGGGACACCAGTCATTTGTGGTTTGTTGAAATCCAAGACCATGGTAAGCAGCAGCCAAAGCCGCTTAGGAAGCAGCAAAAGCCCACAAAGCAAAAGCCTCGCCAAGATGACCTACAGGGGTCTTAAGGAGACAACCAGCATACACTTTAAAGCCACCATCCATGCCCAATGTATTTGAGTCGAGAAACTGAACAATGCCTGTGAGCCTTCTTACAGTTTAGCTCCAGACTCTCAGCCGGCTAGACTGGAAGTGCTCAAGGCTATTGAGCAATTGCTGAAGAAAAAAATGGACATCAGAACTGATGCTCTGGATCTCTCTATTACTAAAGGTCACTTTGCACTCTGCATGGTAAGGCAGAGGAGTTGCAGGTGCCAGGTTTAAGAAAAACTGCTCACATCTCTTTGGTACTAAGCCTTCCAAGACATTTTTAT